GAAGTCCCACCCCCCGGGGAGGCATGGCGCGGCTCGCTTCAGCGCAGCATCCTGACCTTCGGGGCAGCTGCTCAGGCAGATCCGTTAGTTTGTCGTGGTCGCAGACACGTTTCTGAAGACTAATATCAGGGGTGTGTTTGTTCGTAGGAGACAAACGGTTTCAGATGCAAGGACAACGATGAAATTCGGTTGCCTGTCCTTCCGACAGCCCTATGCAGGATTAGTTTTAAACAAAGTCAAAACAGTAGAGACTCGCTGGCATCCTTTGCTAGCCGACTACAAGAACTGCACCATTGCTATTCATATAGCTGTTAAGGACTGGGAAGATGAAGCATGGAGAGCAATTCTTCTGAGTAGGTTTGGTATGACACCAAAACAAGTGCAAGATTTGCTGGATAAAGGAGAAAAATTTGGCAGAGGAGTTATTGCAGGTAAGCAACCTTGGATTATGTTTTCCAAGCAAGCTTTCAATCTGTTAAGCATTCAGCCAAATACACGTATGCGTTACACAGTTACGCTCGTGATAACATTGCATTAACGCTTACTAAGGAGTGGTGCCTGAGCTGTGACTGGGGGGCTACTTTGCTTCCTTACCACTATAAGCTGAGGTCAGTGGGAGAAGTCGTAAATAAAACTTACTCTTTTTCTTTGTGTTGGAAATGTGACGTATCTTTGACCTTTAAGACACAAAATTTTAGTCAGGTCACAATTTTTAAAACACAGTCAGTCACTCTACTAAAAACTTTAGGCTACAACTCTAAAGTCTGTACAAGAAAGAGAATTGATTTGTCCTAACTCATCACGCAGTAAGATAGTATAATGTGGGTTGTATATTATTTTGTTTCATAATAATGTCCATTCTACACTTTCTGCATTTGGAGCTTAGGAACTCTTGCTGAAGCCATTTTACAGTACTGTAGTCAAGTGAAGTCATGACATTGCAATGCTTTGCAGGTCATAGAATCACAGAATGGTTTGGGTTGGAAGGGACCTTAAAGCCCATCTAGTTCCAGCCTTCCTCTAGACCAAGTTGTTCAAAGCCTCATCCAGCCTGGCCTTGGACACTTCCAGGGATGGGGCATCCACAGCTTCTCTGGGCAACCTGTCCCAGTGCCTCCCCACTCTCTCTGGGAAGAATTTCTTCCTGATACCTAATCTAAACCTCCCCACTTTCAATTTAACCCCATTACCTCTTGTTCTGTCACTAGAGGCCCTTGTAAAAAGTCCCTTCCATCTTCCTTGTAGCCCCTTCAGGTACCGGAAGGCTGCAATAATTACATAAATACTACTTCAGTTCTACAAATGCTCCATTGCTTTTTTTTGTTTGGGCAGTGGTTTGTTTCTGTAATGCAAGGTGAGGATGGAGTGGTGTTTCTTTGCTTATATTGTGCTGAAATACAGTGTACATTGCACTGTATACTTGGAAAGTTCTATCCAGCACTCGACTCTTTTTGTAGGTATTTTTTGTTACACCATCTATCTTTCATTCTCATTTGGATATTTTTAGCTATTCCTGCATAACAGCTTACTTCCATTACATATGCTGAAAAACTGTTATGGTTCTACAGTGCTGAAAATTGTTAGGTACTAAGTAATATGCAGATTTGCAACCTTGACATAAATTGCATGCTAAATTGTGGAGTAGGTATCAAAACTTCTTTGATCTTTATTTTAATCATTAAGCAATATAGAAATTCCCTTTTGGGCCATTAAAAGGGTTCCAGAGAGCGTGAGTTTCCGTGTAGTTTAATGATTTTGAAGTGTTAGTGTCCCGTCAGGAGCAGATAGTTTTATTTTTAATGAAGCTGTTCTAAGGCCAAACGTAGCTCAGTTTTGGTAGCAGCAGTATCTCACTAGATGCAGGCTTCTTTTTACAGAATCATGTATCACTGAGTTGTAAGTATTATAAATGCGTGCAGCACCTGTTCACCGACCTGAGTTCTGTCACAGGGGCTTCTGCAGTGCCTGACACTAGTTTGAGGTGTGTGTGCTTCACGGTGTGTTCTTCTGGTAACAAATCAGCTGGTTTGTGTGTCCTCTAGGAGGTTTACTTTTGGGAAACTTTTCTCTAGGGGATCAAACAGCCAACTAATTTTATATTTTACTTTTGCGACACAGGATTAATTGACATTGGAGAGACATCACTTTACCCAGAAAACCTGCCTCCTGAAAAGATTCTGGAGCTGGAAAACAAGGCTGTCCTCAGTAATCTAGAGCAGAAATACTTGACTGTTCTTTCAAATCCAAGATGGCTCCTGGAACCAATTCCTGCCAGAGGGGGAAAAGGTGTGTGGCAGGTGGACATCCCTGAAGAACTGATACCTGCAGAAGCATAGGTGCTGCCCCTTATTATTATTCTTCCTGCCTAAATGCAAACTTGCAATTCAGAAATCAGTATCTTAGATACCAATGAGTTGTTAAAGATTTCCTTCCAAAACTGTTTGAAATAACAAATACATTTGAAGAACTGCTCTTTTGAGGCAAAATAAACAAGATATAGCAGGGATGACCATTACTGGAAATTAGTAATGGTTTACTAGATTTTTCCTACATAATTAACTCTAAATATGGGGTTTTTTTAAATACATGGTTGATGTATTATGTGCCAATTTAAAATGTGAGTAAATACAGCCATATTATATGATGTGTGCATCTCTAGTTATATGAGGGGAACCACAGAATGGTGCTTCAAAGTAAGCTGCCATCATTAATGATATCTGTCTCACAGCCCACTCCTAACCTTACAGTTGTGGGATCATTGAGAAATAAATCATCTGCGAGAAGGCCAGTCCTAGGGGTTCTCAGATGCAGAAGGTTGGTGGATGAGTTTTCTGCACGTGTTGTGTGTTATGTGCTGTAACATCAAGCTTCCAGAAAGGACCAGATTCTCCTCATTAGGTGTATTAGATGTACAGATGATGAGGGGAAGCAGTATGCAGGTCACAGCTCTGAACTCCTCAACTGTTATAGAAAGGCTTTTATTTAAAAGGTGCTTGTACAAAGTTAAATTAAGCAAGTATTAGTTCACTCATTTAAGATGAAAAAGACTAGTGAACTTTGAAAATCTAATCCTGAATTCAAGACAAGGTTAAAGAATAACAAATAACTCAAACCCTGCATTACAGTGAAAATCCTTTTGACTTTGTGGAGCAAGGCCCAAGGCCTTGCAGAGTTATAAAGAGGACAGGAAAACTGGCAGAGGTTTTGTATTCAGATGGTTATTGGATCACTTACGAGACTATTGCCTTGGACTGTGAACTCCTAAAAGAGCTGTGGAAGGTCCCTTGCAGGCCCTGGGTTGGGGTCCAAGGCCAGTGAGAGGTGGGCAGTGCCAGCCCTGGTGGAAAGTGACTGCTGGCCGACGTGGCAGGATGTGGTGAAGGAGCAGGAGCTGCAGCATCACCACCCTGGATGCCAGCTGGGTGGGGGCTGCCATGCTGTGCCAGAAGGGAGGGGGCCAGAGGAGTGTGCTTCTCCCTGCCTGCTGCTGCCACAGGGTCTGAATTGGTCAGGGCAGCGGTGCGCGCAGATGGAGAGCCATGTCTGACCCTGGTAGCTGCCTCGGTGTGGCACCTGGCAGGTGTGGCCTTCCTACGTTGCAGAGGTCTGTGTGTTCTCCCACAGACCTGCTGTGAACAGACCACTCTCCTCCTTGGAAGTGGTTTCCCACCAAAGCTCAACATCTGGCTTCCTTTTCCAGCAGTGTGCATGCAAATCCCTGTCTGGTAAAAATCCTGCTGGTGTTTGGTATTTTGGACCAAAGCTTTGATGATACAGAAAATGTCTTCTAAAATTT